CAAATTCTGTCTCTGTTTTGTTTGAACTGACACCAGATAGTATCAAAACAGCAAGACACTGAATTGTTGTGGGCACGTCAGATAATTAGCGCAATGACACTTTATAATTACTGTAGTGGACTATTTCTTCACCTTTCCCAAACTGTTTGTCTAATTTTGACAAGCAGTTAGTTGGTGTATATTCTACCTGTGTTTGGTCAGTAAATATTTGCTGGTTAGGTCAAAAGGTTACTCCTTACTATGTGTAAATTGTACTCAATTAAGGATCAATTAAGGATGTGTGAAGCTACCTCATTTACATTCATTAACAGATAAGAAATGAGAGATAAGCTGAAAGGTGGCTTCTGGCTGCTGTGTTTTCAAGCTGAGCTCTCAAATGTTATTCTATCAGATTGAAAGCAAGCCAGGTAGAGAAAGACAATTACAGAAAATGCGTATCACAATAGAACAGGTTAATCAGCTCAGACTAAACAAACAGCTCATTTTGTCAGGGCTCATATACAGTGTAGAGGACACAGATAATGAGCATTATAGGAGATGCTGGAAGGTTGCGGATACTTTCATTCTCTTTTTTGCTATTTTAGATGGTAAATAATATGGATGGCAATAAAGGGTCAACCTTCACTAAGCAGACATTTTAATATAGAGTAGATACTTGTGGGATGATCCACCTACTGACATCTTATATCTCTCAAGGTTTCAAGCAGCGTGATCTCTGCATGGAGGGTTCCAGCTTCACTTGAAGCAGCATCTGTTAAATGTAGGTACTTTGGCATTTTGCAAAACTAAGCTGACCCTTTAACCTTTCGCTGCCATGTGCCAACTCACATCTCTGATGGCTGAGCCTAGTTTTCCATTTTGAAACCCAAATTTTAAAGTGGAAAAAAAGTCAAAAAGACAAATATTGATAGTAGGTAACAGTTTTTCGGTGGAAGAGACTTTATACATTGTGGATACTTTAATTCTCCCTGCTCTGGTGGTATTTTAAATGGTACATTTTCCCAAAGGGCAAATTAAAGGGTCAGCCTACAGTAAACAGACATTTTAGTATGGGGTAGATACTGGCAGGATGAACACCTATAGACGTCTTAAATATTTCAAGGTTTTCAGTGGCAAGATCTTTGCACGGAGGGTCCCAGCTTAACAAATATCAGCATCTGTTACATTCAGGTTCTTCTGAATTTTGCATTTCTTCTAGAACTAAGACATCACTAGTGAAATATAAAGCACCAGTCTCAGCACAAAACTGGAATTTTTTTAAGTTTTGGGCAGGCTGACCCTTTACCCATTCACTGCACATGCCAACTCACACCACCAAAAGAGGGAGAGCCTGATGCGTCTTCCCGGGTGGTGACTTCATAAAGTTGGGCGGAGTTAGGATGCCATTTTTGCTAAGTTTTCCATATGTTGTATATGCACATTGATTTTTATTCTCTGTGAGTGCATTTTAATCTACTATTTAAAAAAAGGAGTTGAGTACTATTGGATACTTTTTATGCTTATGTCCTTATATGCCATTCTACCCAAGGGAGGGTTAGTGACCATGCTATGATGAGGATCTTGATGCAAGCTGTTTGTAAATGATTTTAAGCATATTTTACCTCCATCATTGTGGATACTCATAAGGTGTGGTGAAGAGCACGTTGGTGTGGCTTTCATGATGAAAAATATTAACTTTTTGGTTCTTACATGAAAGGAATGTCAAGGTGATCAGGAATTTCACAGGAAGACTGGATGTGTACAGTACTATGAGCTTTTAGGAAAATGGAAGATTTGTCACTTTATAATTAATATTGTTCATGGTGCACAAAAAGAAACTTTATGTGAATATATATCAATTCTTTGATATATTGTGCTTTTTTCACACATATAGTGAATTATTTAGTAATGACACTTTTAGGATTGTATTATTTGTGAGAAGTGCTTCACCTATTCTATTTTTCAATACAAGAGGAATATTCAACTTTTAACATTTTTAAAATAATTTTAATTTAAAATAAAATTAATTTTATTATTTTATTTCTGTCACAAGGTGACTCCCTGAGTGCACATTATTCTGATAGCCATCAACACATTAATTTCACCTACAAGTGGGCAGGGAAGTTGCGCTTCTCTGGCCCTGGTGCCTCCTTTGTAATGTAAAGACTCCCCAATAATTTGCTCACCTGTATCCAAGCACTAGCAATTGAAACATGAACCCAAAAGTTCTCAGGACTGAGCATTTACATGCCCTTTTTCAGCAGGTAAAGAATTATCAAAAAAAAAATCTAGTTCCCTCAGCTCTACATGCTGAACCAACAACTGCACTTCCAGATGTGATTGTAAATTCAGCAAAACCATTTCTCAGCCATCAAGCAGAACCTACACCCTAGAACAAGGAAGCCATGAAGCAGGTGATACATTATTGACAGTTAAAGGAGAAGCATAGCCAAAGTTATTTTAGCTATAAGTCTCTTATGGTTCACAGGTGTGTAGTTAATTCTGCACTCTTGTGACCCATTTTCAGCCCACAGTGGGCTAAGAGTCAGTAATTGCATTTAAAAATCAGCACTGAAATACACTTCATATTGCGAAGAAAATTAGTAAACCAAGGCATTATTTTCAATGGATTTTCATTCGTAAACAGAAAATTACACTAACCGAGGCGTTTGTAAACCGAGTTATTACTGTATATACATTATATAAAGGGTATGGGAACTTTAGAAAACACATGTATGTCACTGCTAACAATGCAAGATTTGTAAATGTAGAGCGCTGATAGTCATTCATTTCAAAGCTCGCTGAATGAGTAGTTCCTTGGTTTTCACACCTGCCTAGAAGCTAAGGAATTACCAACATAATATGGCACGTAGGAGTATTACCAATAAGGGTGAATGTTATCAACAGATGAACACAAAAAACTGTCTCAACAAAAACCATGAGGATAATGAGTATCCCGTATCCTTCCTAGTTTAATCCAGTCCCCACAATCATTTTAACCCCACTCACACCGACATAACACAAATATGTGGCCTCACAGAACTGGACTTTTTTCCATGGGGCCACATATTTGCGTATCTGTCTTTGTGCTGGGATGCGCACTCCCAGCACAAAAACCAGAGTGTCACTGAGAGTCCCAGGTCTCCTGATTCTGGGTCTTTGATAGCCTCTGACTGGCTATCAGTGATCAGTCACTGTGAAGCCCGCCCCTCTTGGTTTTCTCTCTCTCTGAATAAAGGAGAGAGATACATTGTATCCTTGCAGAGAAAAAAAAAAATGTTGTTTAAAAAAAAAAGATAAATAATTATTTAAAAATATAATAAAGAAAAAATACCTAGATCAAGGTTTGATCTAGGTCAGTGCCAGGGTAAGTGTTAAGGTCAAGATCAGGATTTTTTTTTTTTAAATTGGTATTAGTGTCAGTGTGTTTTAGGTAAAGAAACAAAAAACAAAATGTGCACTATTGTTTCTGGGCTGTAGTACAGGTACAAACAACAAATAACATACACATATATGGTATCACTGCGATCGTCAAGAGCTGCAAAATGTATTTTGGGTTGTTCTTTGGTGATAGATTATGGTAGTAACAAGAAAAACACACAGCTAAATGAAAAAAATATATATATTTTTTTTACTATTTTGGGCCAGTTTTCCTTTGATAATAAAAAAAAAATCAGGAGATATCCATTGCCATTTACCACCAAATGAAAGCCCAATTTGTCCTGGAAAAAACAAGGTATAATTCACCTGGATGTACAAACTAGTTGTGATGATATGTACGGTTTTACTAACACATGTCAAAGTTGTTAAATTTTACTTAGGCTTCAAGATTTCTTTTACCGATTTATCATCTTGGTTGTGCAGAGTTCTTTCATATTGGTCCATACACTGTGCCAGGGGATACCCCCCGTGGCAATCTGTTATGTTCTACCTCTGTAATATCGGTTATCAATCCTTTCCTGCCACTGTTATATTGCACTATGCACTATTGTTATGGATCATAACCACCTCTCTGATGTTTTTCTTTTGTTTCTGTATTTGTACTTGTTTTTTTTTTTTTTCTATGCTCTGCTTGTTAAATTTATATAAAATAATAAAGACAAATTTGCCTTTAAGTTTTGTTTTACCCTTAGGCGTGAAGGGGTTAAAGATACAACAGCTGTAACATGCGGTTGTATAATTCAGGATTGTTGAACTGAAAAATGCAGGTTTATAACAGCATTCATAGGCAAAATGAGCACACTGACTTAAAAAGCAATGCTTTTTACTACAGTTTTTGTTTTTAGGTGTCCAAAAACACCAAAATTGATTAAATCATATAATTTCTATTGTAAGCTTAAAGTGAATCTATTAGGCAAAAAGCAGACAGGTGGATGAGGCGAAGAGCAATACAGAAAGCAGGCCTTTCAGGCCTTCTAATACCATTAAAAGTGATATTAAAGACAATTCTTTTTTTTTTAATAACAAAATATATCATACTTACCTGCTCTGTGCAGTGGTTTTGCACAGTGCAGCTCCAATTCTCCTTTTATCAGGTCCCTGTCAGTGCTCCTGGCCCCTCCCTCCTGCTGGTTGCCCTCAGAGCAAGCAGCTTGCTATGGAGGCACCCAAGCAGGCTTGCCCCTGAGCTGCTGCTTGGCCCTGCCCCCTCTCTCTCATTGGCTGAATTGCTGTGAGTTACAGTAGAGGGAGTCAATGGCTGCCACTGCTGTCTCAGCCAATGAGAAGTCCCTGGAGAGCCAAGGCTCTTGTACACATTGCTGGATTGTGATGGGGCTCAGGTAAGTATTAGGGGTGCTGGAGGGGCTGCTGCACACAGAAGGTTTTTCCTTCATGCATAGAATACATGAAGGTAAAAAACCTTGAGTTTTTACAACCACTTTAAGGTTGAGGACTATCATATTGTGCAACACATCTATGTAATACATCACAAGTCCACTACTGATAACCTGCTGTCAGTGATCATTTGTAAAATGGGATTAACTTTGCCATTCATGATGTAAAACTACAAGTACGCTTACCTTCGATGAAGTGATTCAGAAAATTTAAGGCTTGCATAAATAAACTCTTTGACTTGCATATAAATCTGTGGTACTGACTGGGACATGGGGAGCTTCTTTGGAAAGGATAGCTGAAAAATAAAAATGTTGTTAGCCCTGTGTATGCATATAATGTATAATCATTAAAATGTCTGCTATATTATGTAACAAACAAAGTTTGTATAATCTAGAGGCTACCGGACCCTTGTTTCACACAACCAAAAAGCCACACTCACAGGGCCATGTCAATAAAAACATCTAAAGGAGAAATGGTTCTCAGTGTCCACAGCAACTAGGCATCCCATTTCACTGTCTGATATTGCACTGGGATGTAAGAGATAGTCCTATTGGTTGCTCTGAGAAGCTGTGCTGACTTCCATCATTCAATCATGCAAAAGTGCAAATACTGATTTTTTTTTTCTCCCAATGATGTCAGTTGTGATGAAACAAGCAAAACGGAGGTGACACTGTGAGGTCACCACGCACAAACGGATGAAGAAGATATACGCTCTCAGGAATATTCTGTTATCCAAACTGCTGTATTGATTTTAGAATACAAGTAGTTTTTGTTTTTTTAATACATTTTATGTATGATCTTATGCTATGTGGAGTGCATGGCTCTTCTTTATGGCTCTTTATATGACCCAGTGAATTGTGAGACCAAGTGGTCTAGTGGGGAGAGGCAGCAAGATCCTGAGTTCACTAGTTTTGGCGGATGGTAACATCAGCTTAAGTGCTCTATGACTTCTCTGATTCATGGGATCATGGCTTTGCAGTAAGCCTCTTGTGTGAAATAAGGTGAAGGTACACGCAAGTGGTGAGAATCACATTCATTTGAATCCCTTTCATCCTTGCACCTGTTTTTTTTTTTTTTTTTGCGCTTAAATTAATATTATGGGACTTTATTCACAATTTTATGGTGTATGGACTTTTATTTTTGTGACACTTGATAGCATTATATACAAAATTATTTTTGCATGTTGATTTATTTTCACTTTTATCTTCATCATTTGGTTTTATTGCACAGAATTGCATTATGATGATATATATAATTTGATTAGCACAGCACTGTCTTTTCTATTTTTGTTTTTCTTGCACATGATAGGGTATTCTTTGCAAAGTGAAATTGCACCATATTCAGTGAACTCTAGGGAAGGTTCCCTTGAAAATTGCAAATTGCCTTCCAAAGTGAACAGCCTATTTGCCTTTAGTAAATCAACCCGCTTGTACTGTGTGAAAAGAATACAACATGTTTTCTGAATGAGTGCTCCAGGCCTATCAGTTTCACCATGAGAACATCAATGGTGATATCACTGTCAGGCTGCATGTAAGTAACAATCTTTAAAAAAGAATCAACAGCCACCAGAGGGGCAAACATCAATAGAGGTACCTTATTGGTACCTGCAGTAGCCAATTCCCCAATTTAGTGTTTGCCCACACTTCAGTTTAACTGTTCTCCCGACATACCTTTGTAAGTATTGCTTACCTTGTCACCTTCAGGATCCTGAAAAGGAAATTTGCTGACTACAGCTCTGTACTCTTCTTCATTAGCTACTGGGATTGGGCTGTAGTTGTCGGCCTCGAAAATGTCCCTGTGAGCAGATAAACAAGATAGCATTACATGTTAAAAAAGTCAAGTCTTTGTAATATTTGCTATGCTCACAAACATTGTGCCTCCAACACACTTCTAGGTGAGTCAGAATCCTGATCCCTCCACCCCCCCGCTGTGTGCTGAGGATGCTGCTGTTTCCTATAGTAACGTATCAGCCAGCCAAAGGAACCACAGCTCTCGGGATCAAAGGGCCACCACACATACCCGAAAGTGTGTTGGGTGCTGAAGATTCCTAGTAGCAGTAGCTGCTTAATGCGGGATTTGACGACAGCTTGACTTTGAAATGTAGATTCACCTTTCAAGAACATTATGAGAAAATCCCACCTTTGCAATTCTAGATTTCTATGAATAGTTCATATCATAGCTGCTCCTGTTGAAAGTGGTGATGGTCCTCCCATTACAGATGCAGCTATTGGGGGTCCTTTCAAGAAAAAAAAGCTTGTCCCTCAATTCTCAATATGACCTCTAGCAGTTGCTCTGGGCCATTCAAACTGTATGTGTGTGCAATGCATTCTCTTGCAGTTTTAACTTAGCTTAGTAGCATCCGTTCCGGGCCATTCAAACTCTGTGAGTGCACAGTGCAAACAGCTAGAGAAGGATACCTGCATACAAGTGAATTTTCAACGGATAAAATCGGCCGCTACTAAACTAAGCAGGAGCCAGGAGAGCAAAGGCAACAAAAGAGCAAATCTTTTTGTGGTACTTCATCCCTTAGGGTTGGTTCACACTAGAAGCAGTCCGTTCTAATGCAGAAAAAGAAGTAGAACAAGCTGCTTTCTATCTGCACAGACCTGTACTGGAACACAGCAAAAAGCATAAAAAACGCACAGGAATGGAGTGTGGTGTGAACTGTAACCAAAAACACATCCAGAGTGCATTTCTGTGATATGAACTGGCCTTTATGTTGGATTTGAGCAATGTTGGGAAGCTGCTAGACGAATGTGCAGACTCAATAGAAAAGGGAGGACATGTAGCTTACTAGATTGCTATAAATATATATATATGCATGTAAAAGTACAGCGCTAATTAACAAAATTAAATAAATTGTGAACAAATTGTAACAAACAAAAAACAACCACTGGGATGTGATTAAATCAGTCCCAGTGTCAAAAAGCACTTGAACTGCCCATAAATCCAATCATGTGTCTCCAGTGACTAAAAGATAATCAAGTGTATCCAAATGCACCATGTATCACCCCACTCAGTGCTCAAGGGAGGCTTACCAAATGAATATGACCATCATATTATAGAGTAAACATGAAAGAGGAACCCCCTGAATTAATTGGGACTTTGAAGGCATAAATATGTAAATTGAGAATAAAAAAAAATTAAAAAACTCTTTATTTAGTCAAATTTTCACAATATGACAAACCATTTAAGATCACAGTGTAACATCACCATCAAAATTGTTTGTTTAGTAAACTTTATATGATCATACATAGTTAGCCATATTTAAAAACCATATTGTAACATCACCATCAACACATCAGTTTCTATAAATCCAATGCATTTCGAAGTGACTTCGGGAAAGAAAATAGCTCAGCATAGTACTGACATCATGTACAAGATTCAACATATATATATTTGAAACATTATTTATATCCACTGACAGTATTTTTGTGATTTCCAATCTGTAGATATACTCACAACACTATATTCTTAGTATCAGAATATAGTGCTGGCAGCTTATGTGCTTTACTGACCAGTGCAGATTCCTATGCTATTTTATAAATATATATACGTAAAAAAGTGCTATGCATAAATCAGTACACCCCAACAGAAAAAACTTTACTTTCCCTTCAGAATCAAAATTTGGGACACTATACTACAAAATACTCCCACCAAATGCATGCCATTGATAGCAAACAAGATTTGTTAATTTTCACACACAAAAAAGAAAAAAGAGAAAGTATTTTTTCTAACAAATTAATTTAAGATCATGTTTCAAAAAGGAATACACCCCAATGAAAGTCTTAAGAGCAATGTCTAAATTTTAGACAACAAAATCCTAATTAACAAGAAATCAACTACAAGTGAGTCTAATTATTCATTAAACAGGTGTCCAGCAGACAGATGATTATAAAAGCGCATTACTTAATTATTATTATTATTATATTACAGGATTTATATAGCACCAACAGTTTGCTCAGCATTTTGCTGAGACAATACAGCAACAATACAGGGGTTTGAGACACTACAGCAATGATACAGTTCAATATAAGAGGGTTAGAAAGGCCCTGCTCCTTGGAGCTTACAATCTAAGGCTTACTTAACAAAGAAAACCCCTCCCATTTCATGCTGTCAGCAATGACGCCACATGGAAGAGGAATGTCACAAGGCTTAAGAAAGAAAATTATTTCTTTACACAAGAAAGGTGAAGGCTACAGGAAGATCAACAAAGTTTACTTATTATATACACTCTATGAATAAGTTGGAAGTGACGAAACGCATCAGTGATAGGCTGTGCAGCGACAGGAAGTGACGCAGACCAGAACCAAAAGTGACGTGAGAGCAAGGACCGGCGGTGGTGAGAGCACTGTTCGGTCTTTTCTCTCAGGAATATTAGAGATAGAAACATCTTTGGGCTTGATTCTTTTTAACTACTTGTAAGTAACACTCTTTAGTGGAGAATAGAGCATTTAAGAGGTACTGCACCATGTGGGGTTTCCATTTTCTATCTTCTATGTGATATATGAGTGGAGTATTGGAAGGAAATTCTTTTAACCCTGGAGAATGGGAATCGGGAAGTCCAGTACTACAGCTTGAAGGGAGATATGGTCCCTGGAAAAATATGTTCCTAAGCTCAATATGCCAACCATGAGAGTGGGAGGCATTACATTTTGGTGAGTGCACACCTGAGAGGAAAAACACCACTAAGATTTATATTTTGTTTTTTTTGCACAAAAATATTCACGTGGTGATTATTGGATGATCGAAGTGATTTATTTTGATGAATTGTGGATGATTTTTCCACGCGGTGATCACAGGAATGGACTGAATTATTTGGATTTTTTTTTATTAATTGATATTTTTTATTAATTGATATTGATGTATGCGCCGCAAAAATATTTGTTTCTTTAAATATTTTTTTTTGTAAAAGTTTATTAGTCAGGATACTTTAGCAAAAGTGATACAAAAATTTAACAAAGTTGGAACTGCAACCATCTCACAAAGACGTCCAGACCATCCACGGAAGTTAACACCTCAACCGGAGTGTCTTCTTAGAGAAGGGTTGAAGACCTATACGCTGAGTTATTTTATTCTACTGGCAGTGAGCCTTCCCTGCTGGCAGAACACAATGACCAGTATTGCCAGCTACAGCCAGCGGCACTGTTCATTCAGGAAAAGCCTGATAGGGTGGTTATTCACAAGTCGATCAATAGATGGACTTGAGTACAACCAGCTAGCCCGGGGGTCAGCAACCAGGAGATGGCGATCTAAAAGTAGATTGCAGGCAGGTGACTGGTGGATCGTGAAATATAGAAAATATTTAAAAGTTCACTTAGCACAGTATCCATTCCAATAGACTGGTAGATTGTGGTCTGGACTTGCTGACCCACCATCCCAGAACGTAAAACAGAGTGCAATGCTACTTGTAAAGTTGGAGCAAGAGCCGCATAAGCCAATGCCTCTCTGTAGTGCTGGCTCCTGTCCCATGCAGAGCGATACCAACTGCACCCCACCTCTTATCCCAGATAGAGGTCTCTAGAGTGGTACCAACCGCAGGAAAGAAGATATTTTCAGGTCAGTGTGAAGCAATACACTCGGCATAATAGTATACGGTTGCTTTTACACTGCTGTGCTGGGGTTCACCCACATCGCAGGTGCAGTGCAGTGTACCTGTAGCTGTCCTGCAGGTTTGCTGCACTTAGCCATAGACTTCTATTATATCGTGTGGGTTTGGTGAACTTTCTGAAATCGCACAAAAACTTCTGAATGCAGGAGTTTTGGTGCAGTGCAGTTTCAGAAAGTGCACCACACCTGCAGGATATAATAGAAGTCTATGGCAAAGTCCAGCTAACCCAGGAAAGTCGCAGATGCACTGTGCTGCGTCCAAGGTGCAGGTAAACCCATAGTCAAGACGTGTTTTTACCACCTACCCCAACCGCACACCCTTTAGCAGCAGTGGCCAGGGGTGTACACGTCGCATCTGCAGCAGGAGTTATACGCACTGTCATGGTTGGTGAGTGTGAAATGAATGAGGCCGCTCTGCAAGTGCTCTGCAACCCTACAGTACAGAAAACAAGGGGTTAAAAACAGTCATCGCTATGTCGCTTTCTCACCATCTGCTTTAACCTCTTGGCCCCACAGAAGCATGCATTTGCCGGGCACTTGCAGAGTGGCCCCATTTACTTGAATGGGTCACAATTGGCAAGCTTTAGCACCCACCAAAAGCAACAGGGGGTTTTAATTTCTGCTGCGGCATGTGAATATCTTTGGCTGATGCAGCTAAAGGGGGTAGGGATTGGGGGCGGTAAAACCCCGACTCGATAGCAGGGTTTTACAACTCCCCTAAGGGTGCTTTTGCCAAATGCAACTAAGGGCCCATTCACAAGTGCAGCAGGCATTGCTGCTCCCCTGAAAAGCAGTCTAAGTGTGTTTGACAGGTGGTGAGCAGGCGACATGTTGCCTCCTCAATGCCTGATTTAAATCTATGATTGCCATGCAATGCATGTGATTTGGACATGGTAGTACAGCAATTAGAGGTTTAAATTGGGTGTGAGGAGGCAACATTGCACCCAGTGATCTTTGACTTCTCCCATGTTGTTCAGGTAGATCTTCAACTCTTTAGGGTTGCCTACCCCTGAGCTAGCCCATATATGGATCGAAATTCGGCCGGTCCCTGCAGAACAAGCTGAATTTTGATCCATGTATTGCTGGCTTAAATCTGTCTTTGTTCCTCTCTGTTACTCATGGAATGATTGGCTTGGTTGTTTACATAAGAAAGATAAGATACATTTTGCTTCTTACCCAGCTCACACAAAGTGCCAAGGAGACTGTTCTGGCAAGATCAACTGTTATTTTCTGTACTTGCTCAAAAAGTTGTTAGCCTACAAACTAATGTATTTGCCACATCTAAGGACTGGTAAGCTGCAATATATAACATTTTTGTTCTTGGGCTTAGTTATTCTTTAAAGAAAATATCCACTATCTCCATCTAATCTGACTGCAACATAAACAGAATGCAGTTTAAAGGTCTTGAACCATCAAGATTGATGCAAGGACCATAGCCCTGCAGTGCATGTTATGACACAGAGGGACAGTCCGCCGCTGGTGCGTGGGGAAGTGAAGGATCAGGAAAGTAAAAGTGCTTTTACTCTCCCCCTGGACTAAACTTTGCCTGCACTGCAAGGGATAATCTTCACGTTTCCTGGAGTAGGGCTTTAAATACTGTATAAACAGGAATGCTTCTTCACTTAATGGATTGTCATTTTTGTAAAATTATAATAAAGTTATGTTGTGTTGATTTTAAAGATAGAAACCAGATTTGGTGGAGTTGTTCTTTAAAATGAAGGTGATGTGGTAGTAAACCTTATTCTTCAATATTCTGTTGACCTCCTGTCCAGTAACAGGAATATGCTGAAAATGTTACATCATTAACAAAGAACAGCAGACTACATTATAAAGTTACAGTAAAGCGTAACTAAACCCATCGATTTAAATGCTTCCAAAAACCTTAAAGGCATGCTGTGAATGATAACTGTCACAGTTGCTTGTGTTCTCAACTAAACTATCAAACCATCAAATGGCTGGTGTCATAACTGATAACATGTACAGCACCACTCCAACTGTAGGTCAAAAAGAAGCTAATGTAGCAGCTATCTTGGCTGTAAAAAATAGAAGAGTTTAGTTCTGCTTTAATGTCAAACATCTTGCGTTCTGGGTATTTTCCCATCTATGTTTATGAATGGTATAGATCAGCTGCATACATTTTGCTTTTAGACTTGCAGAACCAATAGATACCTGAACACCCAGCCCATTTTTTCAGTAGAGTTTCATTATATTTGTCTCTGACTTCATATAAAAGATCGAACAATCGATTTACAGGAAATCCATATCCCTGAAAAAGAGAAAGACATGTCTGAGTACAAAATCAAAATGTGACATATATCTGACCTTTAAAAAGATACAATCTTGTAAAATCAGTAAAAGAAAAAGTAAAACCCCCTGGCGCAAACTAAGCAAAACTAACCACTGCCATACCGCCACTCCATCATGCTTTATACACATGGTTTGAGCTTAGCTTGCTTTGGGACTTAAAAGCTATTGAACCCCAATCCTTATAAATGAATGAAGGAAAAGAGTGTGATGGAAATGGGAGGAAATCTGTCACATGATCTGAAACAAGTCATGTGAGTCTTTGCAGCATTATGCAGAGAACACACTGTAGGATATTAGAGGCTCCACAACACATTTTTATTTTATAAATATATATTTTTTTTTTTTTTTTTTAAGTCCGCAAACGTGTAACTATAGTAAAAACCCGTAAGTGTCCGCAAAAAAGTGCAAGTGCATAGAACACAAGGGACACTTGGGGTGTTTATAAATAGGGTTGGACCGTTCACCAAGTCCCCCGGGGCCCAAGCTCCTGAAAGGACAAGGTTCCCATTTGGTCTCCTGGCCAAAAACAGGCCTGGTGGACCACCGTTCATTGGCCCAGCTGAAGCCGGACATTCAGGGAAAGGCAAGGGGGTTCTCCCGAAAGAAGAAAACCCCCTAGGGATCAGGGGAGTAAAACCGTATGTACACATCCTCCCCCTAGAATGGTAAGGCCCGAGGACCCACACCCTCCATCCGTGCAAAAACACACACATAAGAACACGAAAAAGTGACTAAACGTGGGAGTGGTTTAAATAAATAGAATAAAATAAAAAAGTGAGTTCTCATGCCTTTAGTGCACAGACCAGGCCCAGGCCTGTAGCAAAAATTGCCCTGGACTTAGCCAAAAGACCTGGTCCTTAGGGCGCTGTGCAAAAAGAAGTGAAAAACAGTGGCCATGTGTCATCTTCACACCGTGGGGTCCCACACCCAAGTGTTACTAGTGACACCCCTGAGAGCGTCTTCCCCAGGGGGCACTGAGTTTGCGGACTTTTTGCGTCCCCAGCCCCAGTCCAGACCAAGGTAGACGTTCACAGAGGTACTGGTCTTTCCGGCTCTGAAAAGATTACTCCCAATGGTCCCAGAACGAATCATGGCGCTCCCTGGTTTCTGTCCCTCCGGTACTAGCCTTCCGTGACCCCCATCATACCAGTGAGCCTGATACAACAACCATCGCCCCCTAAACTACGGGTCGGGAGCACCCCACTGGACACTGATAAGAACAGATACTACACTTGATCTTAGCCAAAAGCCGAGAAGCGATAAATATATAAAACATGAAATGAAGGGACAGTGTGAATTATTTCTAGCTGGCTGTATAGAGAAGGGGCATTGCGGGTCTTTATAAATAGGCACCATCAAGTTCATGGTGCCCATCTGGCTCCAAAGGAAGGACAGGGACTAACTGCAAAAATCAGTACCTGTGTGCCATATCCACCTGGGGAATTAGGGAAAGTTTTTGCTTTTTTAAGTAAAATGATCACATGTAAAAGTGTCTCTTTGAAATGAGCACCCCCATTCCATTTGCATACTGCTATTAGCACGTAGGACTACAGAAGGAAAGCTCTGCATCATGGAGCAAGGGAGTTCTCATTTTTTTAGGCTCAGTACCTACTGTATTAAAGTAATGTACCAAATTCACATTTTTCATTATTTATTGCATGAAGAGCATTGGCGAAAAGTATACATCCTGTATTATAATAATATCATAATATTTAATATTTTTTTCTTATATTGAAAATGTGTGCATATCCTCAGTCCACCCTGTAACCGCAGCTGCTGTTTGTACGTACTTCCAGTTATTCATAACAACCGGTGGGGAGAGGGTGATACTTCAGTTTACAGGTGACTTCAAAATTACATCTCCCATAGTTCTTTGCAGTGACCATGTCACTGTACCACTGGTCAATCTGAGCCACAGTGAAATAACATTTTACCGGCCTATAGATGTGCATGTTCCAGGCAGGGAAGTGGCTAGCTGGTGTATATTTTAGTTATGCAGTCTGCCCATCAGTTATTTGTTAAACTTCTATCAGACCTGCTTTTGGAACAGTAATCAAACAACTGATCAGCACAGCTAAATAATGCACCATCCAATGGCTAGCAGGGAGGAACATGCTCGTCTAAAGGAATGATGGGGATGGGGATGTGTTCTTTTTCTTGGGCTTATCACTCATCATCACATACACTTAAAGTCTCTGCTCTCAGTACACCTAATTGGCTATAAAGGGATATATTGAGACAGCAGAATGACTTGTAGACACAGGCATAAGAGAAAGGGATGCAGATGGGGATCTCTGGAAAGATTCTAAGGTATTTATAGACTACATATACATAGGGTTTTAAAGACACACAATGAAACAACTGAGAATTAAAACTTGAAGCATATTTGTATACTTTATTGTCTTACTTTAGTTTTAAGATGCATGCACACAGCAGCAAAGTATGTGTGTTCTATACACATATAGTATCTATCTCACAGAAGTGAGAACACCCCCCACATTTTTGTTAATATTTTATTATATCTTTTCATGTGACAACACTGAAGAAATGACACTTTGCTAGAAAGTAGTGAGTGTACAGCTTGTATAAACAGTGTAAATTTAATGTTCCCTCAAAATAACTCAACACACAGCCATTAATGTCTAAACCGCTGGCAACAAAAGTGAGTACACCCCTAAGTGAAAATGTCCAAATTGGGCCCAAAGTGTCAATATTTTGTGTGGCCACCATTATTTTCCAGCACTGCCTTAACCCTCTTGGGCATGGAGTTCACCAGAGCTTCACAGGTTGCCACTTGAGTCCTCTTCCACTCCTACATGACGACATCACAGAGCTAGTGCATGTTAGAGACCTTGCGCTCCTCCACCTTCCGTTTGAGGATGCCCCACAGATGCTCAATAGGGTTCAGGTCTGGAGACATGCTTGGCCAGTCCATCACCTTTACCCTCGGCTTCTTTAGCAAGGCAGAGGTCATCGTGGAGGTGTGTTTGGGGTCATTATCATATTGGAATACTGCCCTGCGGCCCAGTCTCTGAAGGGAGGGGATCATGCTCTGCTTCAGTATATCACAGTACATGTTGGAATTCATGGTTCCCTCAATAAACTGTAGCTTCCCAGTGCCTGCAGCACTCATGCAGCCCCAGACCATGACACTCCCACCACCATGTTTGACTGTAGGCAAGACACACTTGTCTTTGTACTCCTCACCTAGTTGCCGCCACACACGCTTGACGCCATATGAACCAAATAGGTTTATCTTGGTTCATCAGACCAAGAAAGGACAAACATTTGGACAAGCAGACTTCCAGTTACTGGAACCATGTCCTTAGGTCTGCTTGTCTTCAGCAAACTGTTTGTGGGCTTTCTTGTGCATCATCTTTAGAAGACGCTTCCTTGTGGGACGACAGCCATGCAAACCAATTTGATGCAGTGTGCGGTGTATGGTCTGAGCACTGACAGGCTGACTCCCCACCCCTTCAACCTCTGCATATGACACTGAGCACGTGCACTCAACCTCTTTGGTCAACTGCAGCTCAGTTTCAGGGTCTTGGCAATCTTCTTATAGCCTTCAGGAGCACCAATCTTGGCAATCTTCCATGTTGAACTAGCCTAGGTCACCAAATAACCACCTGAGAGACCTTGTAACACTAATGAGTCACATGACATCGGGGAGGGAAAATGGCTAATTGAGCTCAATTTGGACATTTTCACTTAGGGGTGTACTCACTTTTGTTGCTAGCAGTTTAGACATTAATGGCTGTGTGTTAATTTGAAGGGACAGCAACTTTCACTGTTACAAGCTGTACACTCACTACTTTACATTGTAGCAAAGTGTCATTTATTAAGTGCTGTCATATGAAAAGATATAATAAAATATTTACAAAAATGTGAGGGGTGTACTCACTTTTGTGAGTACAGTACATGGAACTTAGTGGCATGGGGACACTACAAACTATTTTTTTTTTTAACCTAAATGGTTGATTTTTTTTTACATTTTGACTGAGCTAATATGTGGCTTTTGTGATGACAACACTGTTTTGAAGAATCATATAGCATACAGTTATAGTGAGAAAATGAGAACACTTTCTTCTCAGTACCATTTATTTCTTACATCTTGGAGCTTTGGTATAAACAGCTAAAGAGTTAAACACACTGATTGGCTTCTTCTATTGACACCTAGAGCTATTTTGCAGAGAGCAGACAATCTTAAGATTATGTGCAAGAGAAATAAGATTATACTGACCTGTAGAGTGTCAGCGAACACCACGATCAGATTCTTCAGCTCCAAAACCAGATCTGGGTCAGTGCAGTATGACTGCAATTAAATAGAATATGAGTATTACTGATTATTGCAGATTTATGGCTTTGTACAGCAGTATACTGTATAGAGGTGTCAAAAAAGATGTGGCACTGGTTATGATAACTCTGCACAATTACTAAAACCTTCATTAGTTAAACTTAGAAAAAAAATGACCATAAGGAACACACCTACAATACAGGTGAAACTCAAAAAATTTGAATATCATGCAAAAGTTCATTTATTTCAGTAATGCAACTTAAAAGGAGAAACTAATATATGAGATAGACTCATTACATGCAAAGCAAGATAGTTCAAGACGTGATTTGTCATAATTGTGATGATTATGGCTTACAGCTTATGAAAACCCCAAATCCACAATCTCAGAAAATTAGAATATTGTGAAAAGGCGCAATATTCTAGGCTCAAAGGGTCCCACTCTAATCAGCTAATTAAGCCATAACACCAGCAAAGAGTTTCTGAGCCTTGAAATGGTCTCTCAGTCTGGTTCAGTAGGAATCACAATCATGGGAAAGACTAATGACCTGACAGTTGTGCAGAAAACCATCATTGACACCCTCCATCATGAGGGAAAGCCTCAAAAGGTAATTGCAAAAGAAGTTTGATGTTCCCAAAGTGCTGTACCAAAGCACATTAATGTGGAAGAAAAAGGTGCACAAGCAGCAGGGATGACCGCAGCCTGGAGAGGATTGTCAGGAAAAGGACATTTAAAAGTGTTGGGGACTTCACAAGGAGTGGACTGAGGCTGGAGTCAGTGCATCATCAAGAGCCACCACACACAGGCAGATCCTGGACATGGGTTTCAAATGTCGTATTCCTCTTGTCAAGCCACGCGCTGAACAACAAACAACGTCAGAAGCATCTTACCTGGGCTAAAGAAAAACAGACCTGGTCTGTTGCTCAGTGGTCCAAAGTCCTCTTTTCTGATGAGAGCAAATTTGCATCTCATTTGGACACCAAGGACCCAGAGTATGGAGGAAGAATGGAGAGGCACACACTGCATGATGCTTGAAGTTCAGTGTGAAGTTTCCACAGTCTGTGTTGATTTGGGGAGCCATGTCATCTGCTGGTGTTGGTCCACTGTGCTTCATTAAGTCAAGGGTCAACACAGCCGTCTACCAGGAGATTTTGGAGCACTTCATGCTTCCTTCCGCAGACGAGCTTTATGGGGATGCTGACTTAATTTTCCACTAGGACTTGGCACCTGCCCACACTGCCAAAAGCACCAAAACCTGGTTCAATGACCGTGGGATTACTGTGCTTGATTGGCCAGCAAACTCACCTGACCTGAACCCCATAGAGAATCTATGGGGCATTGCCAAGAGAAAGATGAGAGACATGAGAATGAACAATGCAGAAGAGCTGAAGGCCGCTATTGAAGCATCCTGGTCTTCCATAACACCTCAGCAGTGCCACAGGCTGATAGCTTCCATGCCACGCCGCATTGAGGCAGTAATTGCTGCAAAAGGGGCCCAAACCAAGTACTGAGTACATATGCATGCTATACTTTTCAGAGGTCCGATATTTTTCTATGTACAATCCTTGTTTTTTTGATTGCATGTAATATTCTAATTTTCTGAGATTGTGGATTTGGGGTTTTCATGAGCTGTAAGCCATAATCATCACAATTATGACAAATCACGGCTTGAACTATCTTGCTTTGCATGTAAATGAGTCTATCTCATATATTAGTTTCCCCTTTTAAGTTGCATTACTGAAATAAATGAACTTTTGCGCGATATTCTAATTTTTCGAGTTTCACCTGTATAATGAGAAGTGTCCCTTGTGCTGGTAGCTACAGTCTTCCGTCCTCTGCTCCAATATACCCCCAAAGAAGCAAGCTTCCAGTAATGCATAAGTTAATACAGCTGCTGGATCTGTCATAGGCACTTGTTAAGACAGTCCACTATACCTGTCCTTTCGACCCCCTCCTCCATTCATAGAAGCTGTACTATTATTTCCATCAAATCAAACGTGCTCTATGAATGGCAGAAGGGAGGATGAATCCATTGTGTATGTCCCTTGTGCTGATTTTTTTAAAAACTAAACTTAATTTATCCCACACCCCGATACTTGCTTCTTAGTGTAGAATTGTTCCCCACAGAGATGGCAAGTCCTGTTTACATCACTGAGCTTCTGGCAGTAGAATTGCAGTAAACTGAAGAAGCCCCGATGGCTGCCCACCTTTTTCTCTTCTCTCCTTTATTCAGAAAAGTCTTTTGTTTTCACAAAATGCAGCATCTTTTAGAATGGAGAAGAGGAGAGAAAAAGGTGGGTAGCCATCGGGGCTTCTTCACTGCAGCATTGGACTTTCAGTAATTTGAAAAGTACAAGTCATGACTGTAGTGAAGATTTCTACACTAAGAAGCAATTAAGAGGATGTAGTATACACTTCAGTAGAGGTAACTAATGTTACTGAACTTATATCCCAGAAAACTATTTTTAACAAATCTTCACCTTTAAATTACAGGAAATTGCGTTTGCAGCTTAACCATGGTATTGAAAATGACTGGGCTGGGGCTTTTATTCTAATCAGACCAGTGCAAAATGACTAATGGTTTATTCTAATCAGACCAGTGCAATGAAGTTTTGTAAAATAAGGGAGAAAAATTAGTTTGAACCTCAATCAATGAGCTCTTGATTTTAAGTAGAGTAATCTGTTGTTGATTAATGGGATGAGCAAAATAATGATATTAGATATGAAATATTCTTCCATACTGCCTCCACTGTAGATCCCATCATGACAAGAGTATAAGCAGCTACAGAATTTTCTGTGCTGGACAGGGGTCCTCTTCTCCAATGGGGGAAGAACGTTTTTTGATTACCTCCCTATCACCTTAGGAACAGTGATGATATTGATGCTAGATGACTAGATGTACCCACACTCAATATGATTGGTTGCTCCAAGGTCTAGGTCTGCTAAAGGTCTTCTTCAAAGATTCATCTGCACCCTAAAAGCACCCTACACCAATATCAAGGCAATCTTCTATCAAGGCTAAACATTACCAAAGAACCAGTGAGCAGTCTGTTAAAGCCCATTTGAATCTTCAGTTGTAGTCAGCTAAATACATTTCAGATATATCAAAACAAAAGTTTGTGAATTTTTCCTTTCTAAAACAGCCATTGCTTGTGAAGAAAAGCCTATCACTTGACATTAGCTGCAGAGTGGGACCCTTGCAATCTTTGTGGATTTTCTCTCCAGGTCAGATGTTCTTCATTCATAAAAATAACGTGAATCAGGAAAATGCCACTGGAGCTGATTATTATAGTGATGATGGTGCTGTAATTATTTTTTTTTTTTTTTAAAAATCCAAGTATTTTTTTCCTAATCGATAAATGGCTGTCACATGACCCAGCTCTTTCCCAGCCTGTCTGCAGGGAAACGGTGGCAGGAGGAGCTTCTAGTCCTCTGCTGCTGGTAACATGTTCAAAATAAAAACAGCCTTTGGAATACAGAGTAAAAATAAAAAGTATCAATAATCTGCTTTAAATTATCATATAAATAAATATTTGAAATTAAATTTTTAGACGAGAAAAAAAAAAAAACCCTTTTCGCAAGGGGGAGGAGCCTGAACATGGCGCCGGCAGGGTACTCGATGTGAGAGTTCCCGAGCATCAGGGCTCTTTTGACCCACTAGTAACTATGCCCAGGAGGGTGTGAGATACCTGGGCCTCTGAGGTTGTCCTGCCTTGCGGTGTCCTGCTGGCGTGTAGTGCCCCCCTATTCTGTCAACCTACGTTGTTGGTGGCGGTGGTGTGGACGGAGGACGGAGTGCGAGGTGCCGGCCAGAGAGGAGGTGAACTCTCGGGAGTGGAGCAGTGGACGCTGGGTAACCACATGAACACCACGGAGGAGTACTGGGATGCTCAAGCACCGGCCGAGTACTGAGACACTCAAGCACTGGCCAGGTTAAAGTGGAGGAGAGGCGAATCAGCCCATCCAACTCACGATTGTCCAGGACTTGGTAAACCAGACGGAGGGTGACCCCCCCCCCCAAACAGAGACTGCCATAGATGGAGTTTGATCACTCGGGAGTGTCTTGGAAATCCCTGAGTGAGGAGGAAGGAGGTTAGTAGCCAGGCCCAGAGCAGCAGCAGTTTAACCAGAGGAAGATGGAGTCGAGGAGACATACGAGGGGCTACAGAAGATGGTGAGTCAAATGTTTAAATGGATTAGTACTGTTTAAAGAACATTAGGGGGGATTACCTAGTGGGCTCAAAAAGTCGAGACACAAGCGAGAGGAAGGACACAGAGACCCTCAGGGAAGAAGCTGGTTATGGGGTAAACAGGAAAAATTAAGGGACACTATTCCTGGTGAGCCTCAACCCCAATATTTTCTGCAGAAGTAAGCCCCCTGCCTTGAAATGACAAAAGTAAGGAAAAATATACTTTTATCATGAAAAGTAAAGCTGCAAAAGGGGGAGGGTCTAGAACATCCCAAACAAGTACAATTAAAAAATATATATGCCCTCACAAGAGAAAATTCCTGAGGGTCAAATCCCAGAGAGACAACAGGGGGTAACTGGAAGACGGGAGATGGAAAACATCAGCGGGGATCGCTTCAGATTGTCAATGGGAGTGCCTAATATGAGCCAAAGTGTAGAGATCGAAGATATAGAAAAAGAGTTGGCTATAGAAAATGATGAAGAACAAGAAAAGACCACAAATGCTTACTAAATCTGAAATAGCAGATGTGTTACGAGATTGGAACGGTCTATAAAACAGGAGATGGCGGTAATATATAAAGACCTGGTGCAAGTTTTGTCACGTGTAGAAGAAACGGAGGGAAAACTGGACAAACATGCCCAAATAATATTAAATCTAGAAAAACAGATGAAGGAGATGTGGAAAGAGCAAAGGAGTCTGCTATATAAATTGGAAGATCAAGAAAACAGAGATAGGAGGAGTAATTTGAGGATACGGGGCTTGCCCGAGACTTCACAAGGAGAAGATTTGATGGAGAAAACGAGGAAAATGTTCAATACAATGATGGACA